ACGCCGCATTTAATGCCTCGATGGGCGGAACGACGGTTCAGGCCTAGGGCTAGCCTGCAAGCGGCGCGTCTACCCTAGGCCGAGGTTGAGTGACAATGACCCGGCCTGCCAGGCCAAAGGCCCATTAAGGCAAAAGCTATGGGGGCCCATCCAGATCACGCTAGAAGTTTCTAGAAGTGACCCGGCTGGGTCCGGCCAAATGGAGGGGCCCGGACGAGCTTCAGGTCGCAAGGTCGGCCGACGGATTTGCCGAATCCGTCACCCACAGGGCTTGGTCGGGCAGAGTCTACAAGTCGGTCATGACGACCAAGAGTCGGCCAAAGGAACACGCAAAAACCAAGAACCGAAAAGTAAAAACGAGATCTTATTCCATAAAGACAGGGGTACAAGGCCGAGGACTCGGCCACAAGCATTACACAGAAAAGACGGGCCTAGGGCTTAACTTCCTCCTCCTCCGCGTGACGCACCGGCTGCGGACCCTCCAAGTAGTAGTGGGGGCGGAAAGGCAACGGACTCGGCTCAGGCTCAGGCTCGGGCAGTTCATCCAGATACACAGCAGGCTTCCCATCTACAACCATCCGCAGGGGCCTCTCCAGAGCACTCGGTGACATGGCCACACCAAAAAGCGGAGGAGCCTCCCAGTCTAGGTCCTCCTCTGGCTCTGGATCTTCTATCATGGGCTCCATCTCGTCCTCCTCCGGCTCCACGACCATCAGATCAAGCATGTCAGGAGGCACCACGATGGGATCAGAAGCGGAGTCGCCCACCAGGTGCCCTCCGCTAGCCGCCCTCTTCCGCCGGAGCTCCTCCTGCCGGGCATGCTCCTCATTACGGCTGGACCAACGACGATCACCGTCCCTGAAACTCATAGCTTGAGGTTTTGAGATGTAAAATGGTGAGAAAGCACAGAACTACCAAGAGCCCTTATATAGAGCCTCGAGAGAGCGACGACCGAGGCGCAAATCACGGAGGGAATCGTAACTGACATAACTGAGCCGGATTGGATGGCAGCGCGAATCTCTGTCAGAGAATAATCCCATCCAATTAGCTCGGGAAGGGTGAGATTCGCACGCTAAACTGAAAAAAAGCCTGGCTCGCCCTGGGAAGCGAGATTTTACAGGTGTCAAGCGGAGGGAGGACTCGACATCGCGGCCGACTCCTCGACAATTGGGACGGACGAGTGCACTAAATATACTGAAAAAGATGAAAACGGAAGGCCGAAAATATTTTATTATAAAATAAAGAAGGTGCAGGTTACAAGGAGCTTATTACAGAGTAAGCAAGTGCTCCTAAAAGAACTACCCCTCTAGAGAATCCGGCCGACCCCAGTTCACAAAGATCACTCACTCGGCGAGGAGGAGTCGCTTCCAAAGAACCCTCCCGATGGTCCAGGAGGGGGTGGGCAAAGCGAGTCCCAGAACGCCGGCATGAGTGGTGGCACAACCAGCTCTTCGTCGTCCGGGTACATCTCCTGATAACGAGCAAAGTCTTCCTCGTTCATTAGCCCTGTAACCGGACCGTCCAAGTCATCCAGAGGAATAGAAAAGGTCATACGGAAGGTCAGCTGCTCTGGGACAGGCACGTCAACAACGGTCCCGCCTGGGGAAGTTACTCGAGCAGTCCCCGGAGGAGGAGAAGGGCGAGAAGTCGGAGCGACTTCACGACGAGCAGGAGTCGGCGGATGAAGAGCCATGGAGGCAGCGCCAACAGGTGATCTCTGTGGAGTCGGACGGGGAGCCTCCCTTCTAGGCTCCCTCTCAGGCCGAGTCCGTTTCGAAGGCAAGGGGCGCCGGGGCGATCCAAAGTCAATTCGCTTCCCTTTCAGTGGTGAGCGACCCATGAGGAATTAGTAAGTTAAGAGAAGAACGGCCAAGGTCATTTATAGGTGCCAGGCCAGGCCGAGGAGATCAGAACGGTCCCGCGAGATCCGGGAGATAGCGAATAATCTGGGCCAATCCTGGGTCATTCAAGGCACGGATTCGGTGAGAAGGAGGCGGTTACTACTTTTCCAAACCCAGGTTGGCGGACCGGGTATGGAAAAGTGAGGGACTAGTTGATGGGGTGAGAACCCCGGCCCAAGAAAAGAGGCCCAGAAAGAATGCATGGGCCGGGTCCAGGACTCGGCCCAGGTCTGAAGAAGGAGGCCCAGCTCAGAGCCCGGAAGGACGGCCCAATGCCAAACGGGGACGAGGAGTCGACCCAGGTCCGGCCCAAGAGAAGACTCGGTCCAGAGAGCCGTTGAGGGAGCCTTCAGAGCAGTCAAGGCAAGGAGCCGTTGAGGCATTAAAGGTCGGACTCGGTCCGCCAGTTACTAGCCAGAGAGAGCCGTTGGCAGAGTCCGTAACGTCGCCCAACGGCTCGACACATTGAATGTAATCTTTAAGTCGGCCATCATGGGCCTTTAAGTCAGTAGAGGAGGAACCACTATAAAGAGGGCTCCTCCACCCTTGTAAGAGGCAGATTAGAGAACCCGGAGAGGGAATAGAGAGCACTATTGAGCATCATACTTCACTAAAAATCTAGACTTTTTGTGAAAGGGGTATCCTCCAGCTTAAGGTTGTGTTGGACCTCCTTGGGCCCGAAAACCCAAAAACCATCAATAGCAATTAAAATTTAACCAACTAAGCAACACAAACTCTTATGTACTAAAGTGCAACATCTAAGATATAACGAGTTCGGTTAACCGTTTTTCGAACCGAACTTTTTCGTTTCGGTTATTGGTTAAAAGAATTTTAAAACTTCGGGTAACTAACGGTTAATTCGGTTCGAAGGTCGGTTAACCGAATTAACCGAACGGTTAACCGATGTTTTTAATATATATATAAATAATAATCTATCTACTATCTACTATACTAATAAGAGCCCAACAGAGTTAGCCTATAATGGGTAGAAAAAATGGCAGTCACAGATTTTAATCAAATGAATGGCTCAGATTGATTAAAAGATTGATAAGATTTAAATTTTACACTAAAATTTCCTAAAATACCCACACACCGTTACTAATTCCGTTAAAATTTTAAGAATTGCCGTTAGTTCACCGTTAACTTACTCATTGATTTCACTAAAAAAAAAAAGGTCTTAGGTTCGAACCCCATCCCAATCAAAGTTGGCATAATTAGTACTCTATTTTACTCTTATTAAATTATATAAATAATAATTTAGTAGCTACAACAAAAAATTATAGATATGCATTTCTTTAATTTAGAATTATGTGTCCACAATGCCTTTATTCAAAAAAAAAATAATTCATTATCAATAAATTAAATAAGAGAAATAATTGTATTAGTTATATTGTCTTTATTTTTCTACAATATAAAAATTCTTTATATTCAAATTTATTAATTGATTATATTGACTACATTGTCCTTACAATGTCTTAATTCAGTGAAAAAAAATTATTCATTATCAATAAATTAATTAAGAGAAATATTTTCATTAGTTATATTGTCTTTATTTTTCTCAAATGTAAAAATTTTTACATTCAAATTCATCAATTGATTATATTCACTGCATTGTCTATTATCTTTTTTGTGCACTATTTTTCTAATTAAATATCAAAATTATAATACAAAATAATGTTATATATTTATTTACCAAGTATTTTATTAATACCATGAAAAAATTAAAAAAAATATATAATTAATAAAGCCAACCATATTAACTACTTGAGAGATTTTGTGACAAAGAGAGCATTCAAATCACTCAACAAATTGAAGTGAGAACTACCTTGCAATGTCCTTGTTTGACAATCAGCAGTTAGCGGATTATATTAGCGGATTTGACCAACGAATTTATTTAATTATTAACATTAGGTAGAAAAAATGACCGCCAAATTATTAAATCAAATGAATGGTTCAAATTGTTCAGGTTTTAATTTTTTTTTTTAAAATTTTCTAATTTATCCTTAATTATATGATTATCCATTTAACTTTTTCGTTAATTCACCGTTACTCTAATTATAATATTAACGTCTAATATAGAATTATAATTACATCATTAATCTAATTCTAATATTATAATATTAACGTCTAATATAGAATTATAATTACATCATTAACCACAAATCCTAATGTCAAAATCTCCTCAAACAATATTAGTATATATTTAATATTTTATGCCCTAATTTTTATTTGTTCTCCCTTATGTCCCGTATTTGGTTTCAACCATACCTATACAATTATTTTATTGACAATTATAATCAATCTTGACTATATTATCTTGCATTTGTAAACTTAGAATTACCTATTTAACCAGCACGGGCTTAGCTCAATGGTTTAGTGGGCAATATTTGGGAGAAGAGACCATGGTTTGAACCTCGGCGGCGGCAGTGCGGGAATTATGTCCAAAGTGGGCAGATTCCTTGTTCGCACCGGCATTTGGTCCTGTCTGCTGAACCATTGAGTCACCGTGATTTACAACTTCCTACAATGCTCTGTCGGGTCAGAGTGTGGGGGGCCCTTGGGGTAGGGGACTCAACCTTTGGGAGAAGAATTACCTATTTAAATACGCAAATTCAACCTTCAATTATCTATGCATGAACAATTTCAATATAATCTTGCCTTAATATACTTTAAAGTACTTATTTAAAAAAAAACATTGGGTATTATCCCAATCGCGCAATGCGCGTAAAAAACTAGTATAAATATAAATACTAATTTGAAGTTATGGATGTTTGGAGTTAATAATTAATGTTTTTGTATATTTTGTTATGAATTTATTATGATATGTATTTTATTTAATTGTATTTATATTTTAGGTGTTATTTTTAGAATTTTAAAGTTTAGCTTTAAAAAGTTTGATTAATCGGTTAATCGAAAAAAAATTTCGGTTCGGTGAATTCGGTAGAGCAAACTTCGGTTCGGTTAACAGTTAAAGAAAAAAAAACCTCGATTAATTTGATTCGATTAAAACGGTTCGGTTAACCGATTGAACTCCCCTACCTATAACAGTAAGATCAAAAATGAAATTCATTTTGTTTTTTTAGTTCCCTCTCAAACACTTAGCAAAAATATTTCCCTCTAAAAAAAAGTAAGTTTCCCCCCAAACAAAACTTGAGACCCTCACGCCACTAACACTTAGCAAAAACACACTTCTCACATCCCTGTCTCAAAAAACACCTCACGCCTTAGTATTCTTCGATTCGTGTCTCTCACAGCTCCGCCTCTTTCTCACCTCCGTCTCCGCGTCACCTGCATCGCTGCCGTCTCAACGCCTCTTCTCTCCTTTGCCGTCATCGCCTCTTCCCTCCATCAACATCCTACAGGTCAGTCTTCAACCCTAGGTTTATCAACATCCTACAGGTTAGTCTTCAACCCTAGGTTAGTCTTAATTCTATTATTGAATTTTTCAAATGTGGTGAATGTTCTTAAACCCTATTACTTCCTCTGATGGCTGGGTTTCGATTTCCAGGGTTTTGTCAAATTTTGCGTTTCGGTTCAGCGTTGTGTCCTTGCTCACGGGTCTGAACAACCTTTACTGCACTGGGTGGAATTTTGCAGGCCCTAGCTGGGCACCTTTTGCTTCATAGAAATCACTTTATAAATGCATGACAAAAATGTTTATCTTACCAATTAATACTCTGCTTTAGTTTATCTTATGTATACTCTTTGGACAACATATCATATGCAGAAACATGATATTTGGAGAAACATACCATATGCAGAAACATGTGCTTTATGAACTAGATGCTGATATTGAGGTTATGATATTTTGTGGTGCTATCTGCAACACCACTTTTGCTTATTGAATCTTGATGCTTTTTTTGCAGATTTTGATGAATTTTATTGGTAGTGTGAGTGTGTGACCCTGCAGGTAAAGCTTATGTGACTTGTGCCTTGAAACCTTGTATTTTATTGAATGTTTATATCCCTAAATTCTATGCTTGATATACTGAATTTTGTGGTTTGCCACTGGAATTGTCTTCCTTTCCTCTTCCCTTCTCACTTTAACTGAGATATCAGTTGCTATTGTCTATAACATGATCAATGATGATATTCTAATATTATATCATATGCATGAAGAGCAATAGCTTTTAGGTCTATAGCTAGTAAACAAAGGTCCATCACATGTCCATGAAGCTTATTGTTCAACAAATATTTTGAGTTTTATTGGAAACTAAAAAGAGGAAATGACTGGCTTTAGTAGATATTATACGCGAAGTGACCATGTATTTAATCTTAGATTTTTTAGTTAACTTGCTATTCCAAAATTGTTAGAACCAAAGCACCAACTGAATATTGTAATAGTGCAATTGACATCAATGACATATTACATGATTATTTTTAATGATTGTAATTCTTATTTTACATGATTATATTTGCCTTCCTCTTATTTTATCTTCTATAGTAATTCTTTCAACTCTTTACAAAATTTTGCATTTTATCATCAGTAAGTGCAGGTAAGAATGGTTCAGATAGCTCCTAAATGGAGTTTGAAGCAAAATCTGCTAGGGATGGTGCATGGTGAGTGTTTTTTATAATTAACTCTTAGAATATCTTACATGTCTTAATTATTTCTCTTTGCATTTCAGATGCTACAATTTCCTATTATTTGTTAACATAGGATGAGTGTTTTCTGTTCTGGACACTGTGAATGATTTTGTGGACCTTTGCAACTTCATTAGATGCCTCTTGTGATTGATAGAGTATGCTGCAATTAGTCATTCAGTTGTACTGCATTTAATTCTTGCTCATATGTGTAGACATTGGATATTCTGCCATTCTGGTTTTTTGTAACAATATACACTGTTTAGACTTGGTTCGTGAAATTGTTTTTTTGTAGTATTATGACTTGAATGATATATGATTCGATTAGAATTGGTCATGGAAGTATTTAGACTTGTTATTTTTAAACTTAGCTTGTGCAAAATTATGTAATTACATTTGGCCATGATGAATGGATAAATTGATTTTTTATATGATTAAAATTTAAGCAGGTTAAAAATCGTTATATTGTATGCTAACCTACTTGTGTTTTTGCTATGAAATGTGAGGGTTTTATGCATTTATCTTGTGATATTGCATATCTAGAGCCTGTGTTTAGGGTTCCTTTGTGTCATTGCTTGGCATTTTCCTTGGTTCAAGTCATTTTGTTGTGTTTGGTGAGATTTGGCATGTTTTGGACTTGAATTTGTGTTTGGAGAAGAAAATCCGTGAAGGGATTTATTGTGGAACAGGTATGTTCCCGCGGGCGGAACGGCGGGCGGGCCACCACCCGCCGGCCTACCCGCGGGTACACAGCCTCGTGGGATATTATTCCCGCGGGCGGGACCACGGGTGGGGCACTACCCGTGGGTCCACCCACGGGTACATGGTTGTGGTGATGTTGGGATTTGTTCCCCGTGATTTGGTTGTCGTGGTGTTTGATCTTTTGGCTTCCCGATGTTCTTTTGTGGAACTATTTGAGTGTCTTCTGGATGTTTTGTAGGTCTAGAACTATATGGTAGGTATCCATGTAGGACTTTGGTGTCTTGATTCGTGCTATGTGTTCAACATTGTGCTTCGTTGAACCAAGAGATGTCTTGTGTGTTCCTCGGAACTATCTTGAGTTTCCCCGTTGATGTAACACCCCGAAATTTCAAAAACTTTTAAAGACTGTATAACAAAGGTAAATGATCATAAATCCCAAAACGTTTATAAGAATACGGGGTGTTATGCCACACCTGAGTTAGAGAACTCAGGTGCACAGGCTTAATTCTAAAAACCTCAAACAGTATCAATACAAAATCATGGCACGCAGGCCGAAAGGGAAAACTATCTAATCTACGCCCCAAGCCTCTAGCGCGCTCCGGTGATCTACTCGTCTGTGCCTAAAAGCTAAATATATCTGTTCAGCGAGAGATGCTGGTAACCCACTCTAACGCGTTGAAATACAATACATATAGATATATACATTGATATATGAAAAACCATTTCGAAGCATGAAGATATATGCTAAGAGACTCTAGCTTTCAAAACGGGGATTAGACTCGAAATATAGGGATAAGCACAACCAATAGTCATAATCAAGCATGCACAATTCACAGGCGTAGGGAACAGATTCGACATATAGAGATAAGCACAGCCAATAGTCATATACAAGCATATACATTTACTAGCATGTATCCTAGGGTCACACTTCCATAACAATCCAATCACCCATATCTCATCACATAGCACACATTGTTGGCGTCACAGGACCAATCGCATGCCCATACATGAGGGTCAGCGCATATAGCTCTGACACGGCCCTGCAGCACCCTTCCCCGTATCGCAACACGGAGGGGTCGATCGCAACCGACCGATGAACCGCAGCTCTTCATAGTTTGATCGCAACCAAACAGTGGACCGCAGCCAAAGAGTATGTCATCTGACCGCAGCCAGGAAATATGAACCGCAGCTCACATAAAACGTTTGACCGCAACCAAACGGTTGACCGCAACCCGAGAAAGTGTAAATCTGACCGCAGCCAGCTTCTGAACCGCAGCTCGGGAATAACCAATTCGATCACAACGAAATTGGGGTATCATGCACACATAACACATAGCAAGCACATGCAACACACATTAACACATTGGGAATGGGAGAAAACGTATAATGAAACCTATGTGTGGTCATCCACAAACGAGGAATAATCCTAAGGGGTTCATACTTCTTTCACCTAGGCCAACGGGATACCAATTCAACTAGCATGCGATATATAAGACTCATTTATCCTACTAACGGTACCCGAAACATCAAACTAGACTTAGGCACGATAGACGGAGTCTGTTGGGACACCACGGGGGTTGGGGGAACATCAAATGGGGAAGCCAAAATCCCAAGGTGGGGTAAAATCCAGCGGGTAGCCGGTGGGTGAGGGGTCACCCGCCGGCGGCAGCTTTCCGGTCAGCGGGTGCCCGGCGGGCAGCTGCCCGGCCGCCGCCGGCGTCTCCAACATTGGCCGCGGGTAGGTGGCGGGTCCCCTACCCCCACCTACCCCCCACTGAGTCTTTCATCACAGGAAAACACCCCGGGAACCATTGTGGAACCCGAGACCATGCTTAGACACTTTCAAACGCAATTGACAACAACACGTAGACAGTTAACGGATTCAAAAGCAAGAACATACGGCACATAACCTATCATGCTTTTCCAAACATAATCAACACCCAAACATACGAATTCCCACCGAATATACCAAGAATAATACCATACGAATTCCACGATACAACCTAGGGTTCTAATTATTTTTAAATCAACAAGAACACAATTCGTCTTCTAATATCAAGATTCGGTAGGAATATCATATACTCCCTCCGTCCCATTTTCCATGTCTTACTTTCCTTTTTAGTTTGTCCCAAAATGTTGTCCTCTTTCCAAAATTGAACATCAATATCATTCTACTTTTCCAATTTACCCTTATGACTTTTGCTTTTATTTCCAAAAGTAAGAAAAGTGAAGGGCATAATTGGGAAATGACATAGCATTTACTTTAATTCCTTAAAAAGCGTGCAAAAAGCAAATGAGACAACCATTTCGGGACGGAGGGAGTAAACATCAAGAACATCATATAATCATCAAGAACATCAAGAACACCATATAATCATCAAGAACATCAAGAAACTCTTATCATCAAGATCACCCATGGCATCATAACACCAATTATCAAGATCATTATAACGAATCATCAACACACAAGAATATGGGGGATTCCTAAGATGGGAATGGTAGCTATGAAAATAGGTTTTGTTGAGACATGGGTTACCTTTTAGCCTTAATTAATTCCTTGGCTATGAAGGGTCTTTCTTGAAGCTTTCTTCTTTCTTGATTTCTCCTAGGGGAATTCTTGGAACTTCTTGTGTGGTGAGGGATTATTGTGGTGGGGGTTCTAGGTTCCTCCTATGTCCCCTATTTATATATCTAAGAGTCCTAATTAGGGTCCAAATACTATAGGCTTGCTAACTCTACTCCTTTTAGGACTAGGGTTTGGGTTTAGAGAAGAGGGCCCACGGACTATGGTGGGCCTTTTTCGAATTAATTATTGTAATTTAATTCTTTCTTTGGATAATTGGTTAAATGATTAATTGGTTTTAGGGGTCGTAACACGGGGTGTTACACTTGATAAGCATGCTAGTTTGTTGTCTTAATGCTAGCGTGTGTGTTGTTTGTACCTTCCGTTTGGTTGATGATAACTTGTGTTATTCATCGTTGTTGTCGTTGGGCTGTGACCCGTTCCTTGATTGAGTATGTTTTATACCTTCGTTGTAATCCATTAATTGACTCTCGTGTGAGTGGTGGTGCGTGTGTGGCTCTACCTGGATTGCATGATTAGTGGTATGGGACACTAGTCACCAAGGTATTGCAGCGGTCCTCGTGGTGGCCGTGACGTGATTATGGAGTTGTGGCCTGAGTGATGGGTCCACGTGATTGGGGGATAACATGTGTTATCCGGGCATGTGTTGCCGTGATTGGTGGTGGTTCGTTGGTGGTTATAGGTGGGGGACGACGGTCCCGGCGGAATAAAGTTGGACTTGGCTGTACAGGGGATCCTAGAGGTAATGGTTGGAAAGAAGGTACAAGGTTCGGGGTAGCCATAAGGTTGGAACAGGGCATAAGGAAGGTATACCAAACTCGCGATGGGTGATGTTGCGAGGGTTTTTAAAGCCAGCGTTGTGTGATCTTCTCTCGTGACGTGTGTAGTCACGGAGGCTTGTGGTGTTTTGGCATGTGTTGTCGTTGGGTGAGTCTTTATCCTTGTGTGTGGTTAACCTTTGTGGTTGGGATGTGTTCCCGGTGTTATCCTTGTGAGTGGTGAGTCTTGTGTTGTCTTTTGATCTTGGCTTTAGACTTATATATATGTATTCCGTTTCGAAAATGGTTTTTATATCTTATATACTTAACGGTATTGGTGGGTTACCAGCATTATTCGCTGACCGGGTGTCGTCCCAATGTTTATCTTTGTATCTTTCAGGTGGTGTTTAGACGAGAGCGACGTCTAGAGCCTGGTAGCTTAGCACCGTTGTGTTTTTATGGCCTGTGCGCCAATGTTTTTAAACTATTTAGATTGATGTATTGGGATAGTATTATACACTTGCAGATTGTTGCCTTAGCGTTACCTAGTGTGGTATACGTGGCATAACACCCCTTTTTGGATTTCTTTTATCCAGTTTCCGTTTATCTTCCGCTGTGCTAGTTTTGTTGTTAATCTGCTTGTGTTGCGGCTTCAATTGGGCTGTGTTTTTGTGTGGTGTTACAGTTGGTATCAGAGCCTAGGTTTTGAGCCTAGAAAGAGTTAAGTTAAGACTTTCTAAGTGGTTAAGTCTGTTTTGAGACCTCTAAGCGACCTTAAGAAGCTAAGTGTTAGGCTTAGGACTCTAGGTTGCGCGGTGTGATGTGTGTTGCTTTCTGTCTTGGTTGTTTGCTCTTTTTGGTAATCTCGCTGTTGTTGTAGAAGTTTGCGATGCCTCCTCGTCCTCGCGCTCGCACCCCAGAGACCCCTACCAACGAGCAGCTCGCTCAGAATCTCCATCAGCTGACGCAGACGATGCAGTCGCTCAGTGAAGTCTTGCTGAACAACAATCAAGTTGTGCCGCCTCCGCCTCCTGCTGGGCATCGCGATGTAGGTCGTTTGGTGTCAGGGCATCGGCCTCCATCCTTCGCTGGCGAGGAAGACCCTGTAGTCCTTGAAGAGTGTCTACGGGTGTTTGATAAGATCTTCACCGTGGTGGGCTGTCCCGAAGAGAGGAGAGTAGAACTGGCAACGTTCTACTTCTGCCAGGAAGCGGATTTGTGGTGGGTCCACGAAGGTCCGACCTTCCTTGAAGAGCCTGGGTTTGATTGGACCGCGCTCA